TGCAGCAGTGCATAATGTGTTCTATGTTTCGATGCTCAGAAAATATGTTCATGATCCTAATCATGTGGTAAGCTACTCGACATTAAAGGTACAAAAAGACTTATCATATGAAGAAATCCCGACAATGATTTTGGACAGAAAAGTGCATCAACTCAGAAACAAGGAAGTTCCCTTAGTGAAGGTCCAATGGACTTGGAAGAAGGAAGATGAGCTTAAGATCAAATATCCAGAACTCTTCGATACTCAGAAAATATGTTCATGATCATAATCATGTGGTAAGCTACCAGACATTGGAGATACAAAAAGTCTTATCATATGAAGAAATCTCGACAATGATTTTGGACAGAAAAGTGCATCAACTCAAAAACAGAGAAATTCCCTTAGTCAAGGTCCAATGGACTTGGGAGAAGGAAAATGAGATTAAGATCAAGTATCCAGAACTCTTCGATTAACCAAAGTAAATTTTTTAAGGATGAAAATATTTGAAGGAGGGGAGATTGTAATGCCCCGAAAATTTCATAGAATAAAATTTAAATTTTTGTGTGCTATATTTTGATGTTTTGAAAGTTAGGGACTAAAATGATATATAGCAATTTCAATTTTATTTGGGTCATATATTTAGATTTTCGACCGAGTATCATAAGTATATGAATATTAGGCTCGTTGGATAGATTGTAATCAATTAAACATTTTAGACTCGAGAAAAAGTTAATTTGGATAAGCGATGCCCAAGTTATCGAGGTCGAAAGATTTTGCCACAAATTGTAATTCAGTTAGGTTATTTTAATGAATTGTGAAAAATTTTATGGCTAAGCATGTGTATGATGTGTTTGATTTTTTAATTCTATTTTATATACATTTTTTTGAGTTGGGATTTATTTGACATGTGTGAGAATCTTGAAGTGATAAGATTTGGTCAAATTTAGTTTCAAATATTCCTGATTACGCCCAAAGTGTTATGCGGTGTTNGTGTCAATTGATTCCATTTTTTATAATATTTAATTGCCTCGATTTTGAGAAAATGGTAATGATAGCCACTTTGTCCTTGATTGATTGATAAGAAATGAAGTAAACTTTTAAATTTTATGGATTTCCATAATTGAGATCTTTTTGAAAGGGTTTACGTGCTATTTTGTAGATTTTAAAGTTCTTTTCCCCTTTTAACTTTAAATACCATACAAAGTAAGTTTTATTTACCTTAAAGAGGAAAAGAAAAGAGAAAACCTAGTTACGTATCATTGTGGCAACAATCAAAAATAAAAGTTTTGGGAACGTGGTTTCTTGCTTGCTCCTCCAACTATTTTCCTTTTCTATCAAACGAGGTAGGATTACAAGGTGCAAGTAGTTTGTCCTGTTTAAATTATTTTTTCATGTTGATAAATATTATGCTTATGAAAGTAATGATATGAAATGGTCATCCGGTATCAAAGATATGATATGATATGAGCTCTTACCGGTTCTAAAGATATGATATAATGGTATGATATTTTTAACGCATGATTTAATATTTTTATGCAGGGATCGCAAATTATTCGTATCCTACTGAGTATTCACATGTACTCATCATTTTTCCTGCCTTTCACAGATTAGATCGGGTCGTTGGATGGAGGGCGATAAGGTGCAGTCGTGGTGCCAAGATTTATGGAACTCAATAAAAATAATCTAGTGTAACAACGCATTTTTTTTTTAAATTTCTACAATTTCTTAGTTTTGTCTCGTAAAGATTTTTACTTAAAATTTCAAGATATGTTTATCGGATTATAAATTTAAAACTTTGTTATGCTCTATTGGTGATATAACGTTTATTTATTTTTCTAATATATGTGATATGCACTTTTAGTATTCATTTGGTTATGAGTTTTCATCAATTAAATTGTGCCCGTTAAATTTCATATATTTATAATGTTAAAGATAATAGTTTTGCTAGCGATTTGAAAATTAAATTTTGGATCGTTACAATAACGAAGCAGAATTTTCATGGATTAATTTGTGTTCAATACTACGTGAATTCACATGCAAAGTTTCTTTATAAGAGACAACCATATTAAGCAAATATAGGCTATTATAACCAGATAAAGAACTGATACCCACAATATTTGAATTAAGAAAAAGACTAAACTGACTATTTTCAATTGAAAAAAAAGAAATCGAATTTGTCCAAAATAGAAACATAAACCAAATTCCATCCAAAAAGACGGAACCGCAAATGTCTCTTTTAAATTCAAATAATAAATAGTCTTTAATGTATTGAAACTAAATTAACCTAAAAAGAAAAATCAAAATGAGAAGTGTACTTTTCTTTACACGTCAACGTGGTATTTAGTACAGTATCTTTTTATGTATTCCAGATTTTCACATAAGTAACAGTCAGATTATTTACCTTTTTCATGCTTTTGTTGTTTCTTTTGAGTTAAATCAAATGTAGCTTCCTTATTCTTTAACTTGTCCTTAGAAGTACTTGTCAAATGAGCACTTTCAGTTCTCTCTTGCTTTAACCTTTCTTCTTCTTGCACACAATATGAAATTAGCTCATCAGGAGTCAACTTCCCCCTTTGATGCTGTAACTGACCTTAAATTTATTGAATTGTATAAGAAGGGAAATCAAAACCAAATGCACGAGCAAGTCGTCAGACAGCTCAAAATTTAATGCCTTGTTTTGAAGCAAGATGGGAGACATCCATGATGTACTATTGTATATTTTCTTTAGCCTTATAATTTAGTGATTAGGTTCGTATGAAACGTACTAGTTTCGGCCTTTTTGCCTTTTACAAAACACTTTAGAATATCTTTAAGAAATTCATTGGCAGTTACCTTATTGGACACAACGCCCCTGAATATTGTTGAATTTTACGCTTCATGATCATAAGACTTCTGCGGTTTGAACGATCCCACTTATTCGAGTCCCATTTTATTAGCGGAACTTTTATCCGTAATAGTAGTGGATTGTTTATTCCTTAACACAATGTCTAGATCCATGCCACCAAGAACGATACAAACGTTTTCTTTCCAGACCTTAAACTTTGGTTCGAGCACATGAATTGAATTGATGTTGAAAAATATTGCAAAAGTTGATGGATTAACTAAATAGAGAACTTAAACATAAATAACATGTTCACATGGGATTTCATATTGGACAATTAATAATTTCAAATAATGATGTGTCCCATCACAAGAGACTAAGCACAATATTGATATTTAGTCTTTGGACAAAAATATCAATTTGTAATTAGTACTCTTGCTATAGTAATGAAATATTGACAATAAATCCAGTCAAACTCAAGTTTATCTTTGGACCGACTCAATGTTCACATAATGAAAAACTTTACAATTGACATATATTTATTACAACAGGTGTACAAATAATTCGGTCAAATAATGACATTCATTTGAGCTAGTGAATATTCGCATGAATTGCGTACACACAATCCTCCTAATATTCCAAATAAAATAATTTAGGCAAAAAAGTGTGATAACATGTTTCAAATAATCCATTTTAAAAAATTAGTAATTCGAAATAACTTTAGTACCAAGATTTTAAATTTAATTGCCACTAAGTCTTTTAATTTTTTTTTATTTTTCTTTCTTTTGTTTAAAAAAAATAAAAAATTTGAACAATACACCTAGTGCCACATCTACCTAAAAGGACGTTGCGCATTGATGCGATGGTTTAACATGGAGTTGACTCTTATATAACCTATTAGAATTTTTATGGAACTCTAAATCTTAAAACTTGAAAACCTGATTAATTTGTTACCAAAATCTTCTAGTCAAATCATTGAGAAAATTATTAATTACGGAACATACCTTAATTATTTGGGAATGATTCTTTATTACTAGATCTTGATTCCGGATCTTGATTCTTGAAGTTTGAACTGCATGCTTTTCATATTTGGGTTCTTCACTTTTAATCTTGAATTTTGCGTCATTTGATTCTTTAATTCTTGTTCTTGGTTTTACTTCTTGATCCATAGTTTTGATTCTTGAATTCTTTTTAATTCTTGATTGTGGGTTGCCTTTTTTTGATTGTGGGTTTGAGATCTTCTTATTCAATATACTTTCTATTGAATTCGCGTGTTGAATGGATGACACAAAGAATGATAAGTTGCATATGAATTTGGGACCATAACCATTTCCATATATATTTCGTCCATCATGAAATACATTTTTAAAGGAATCTGATCTCTACATATATAACTCGGTTCACACTTTATTTAGACACCCTAATCCGAGTTATTTAATTTTTTATCGGATCACTTTAATTTTATAACAATCCGGCCTCTCACCGGAGCCGTTATCTTACGTACTGTCCGTTCTGGGGTGGGCTTCTGCCCACTTATTCCCTCACGGCTTTCTGACGCGTTCCCCAAAATTCGAACCCAAGACCTCCATCATATGGGAGACTTAAGTTGAATCATGGTACCAATTGGGCAGGATTCAACTTAAGTCTCCCATATGATGGAGGTATTGGGTTCAAATCCTGGGGGACGCGTCAAAAACTTGCCCAATTGGTACCAGGATTTAACTTAAGTCTCCTATATGATGGAGATTTTGCGTTCGAATCCCGGGGGACGCGTCAGAAAGCCGTGAAGGGATAAGTGGGCAGAAGCCCACCCCAGAACGAACAGTACGTAAGATAACAGTTCCGGTGAGAGGCCGGGTTGTTACAATACGTAAGATAACGGTTCGGGTGAAAGGTCGGGTCGTTACAAATTTTGTGCTCAACTTTAAGATAATCTTATACACAATTAATTACATATGTAAGTCCAAACGACAAATTAATAAACCCAACACAAAATTGCTCCAAGAACACTTGAATTGGAAAAATCTTAAAAGACTTCAAATCTTACACACGCTCGTACATTTGTTCTGTGAAGATAAAGTCGAGGAAGCAGTGTACAGCAGCTTCTCTCAAACTTCGACAAACGATAGAGAAACAGAAAGAGAAAGAGGAAAACCACACACAAGCTGTAAATTAATATTACATATAGCAGAATTCAAATTTAATTCTTGGTAATAAGAACTCTTTGGTGACTATTGCCCATGGCCATGTTCTTCATGGTCTCAAATCTGAGACCCTTGTCTTCAAACTTGGTTTTCGTATAAAGATTCAGATAATCTTCGAATCGGAAATGGTTAGGAAGTAAGAGCTTGGAAACTGGAGAAATTATTGCATCACCAGCAGGGTTGTAGAATGTGGCTATCGAGAGTCTGTTTCCGTCCTTCATAGCCATGACCCTGTGCAAAGCACTCTTGTACACACCATTGCTTAAGATTTCCACTTGATCTCCGGTGTTTATGAATATTCTGCTGTTCTTGGAAGGTGGAATTTTCACCCATTTCCCATCTTTGAAAAATTCAAGACCCGGGACTTGGTCATCTTGGAGCAAGAGAATGATACCACCAGCATCGGTGTGCTCTCTTAGCCCTCTAATGAGTTCAGGATGAGGACATTGAGGATATATTGCCACTTTTGTCCCTACAGAAGCGCCATTGCTTCCTGAAAACGCTTCTATTATTCGATTCTTTTCTATACCCAGGTTTTCACACATGAGTTCTGAAAGCTTTTCTGCGAGTTTTATCAGTTGATCAATGTACGCATCCATTGTTTCACTGCATAGTGTATACATGTTTCAATTGCATTGTTAGTTCATTCTCTGACACTTACTCTATTCTAAAGGCTTCTGAAATTAGCCTTCCCGCTTGAAGCTAGACAAATATGTTCATGTAAACTTACCGGAGATCCTTTGAGAGGCTGGAAAGCTCATTGATATTAGAATTGGGATGATGCCGAACAAAGAAGCTGCTCTCCCAGTCTTTATTACTTATAAACCCGTTGTTCTCCAAAGTTTTTACTGCCTTCGTTCCATAGAAACTGTCTTTCATATTCTCTTGATAATGCTGATTCGTCAAATGCTTCACTCTCTCCATAAGCTCTTTATCAATTCCATGGTTCTCAATCTGCACATGGGAAACAACAATTATTGTACAATACACTTACATAACATGCTCATTTAAGATATTTGTATAAAGAAAATTTTCATTACCATGAAGAAGCCCCATTTCTCGCATGCCTCATGGAGAAGTGCCATTGTTTCACTTCTCTTCTCACTCTCAAGATTACAGAAGTCAATCACAGGGATCTCCATCTCCTTTGTTGATCTGAAAATGGAAATCTCCTTTCTCACTAGTTTTGGATGAATAAGTTGCATGACTTGGACGAGTATATATAGGCATAGACCGACAGGGTGGGTCGATTCAATACTACTACTGATATAATATTGGGACGGTTATATTTCAAGAAATGGTAGTTACAGGTAAACTCATTGAAAGGAGAATTATTTGGCTGCATTGGGAATATCAAGAAGGTTAATTGTCCAAGTTCAGATCATCATCTAGCCATGTGATTTTTGCAATTAATCAATGCTTTGACTATTGATTAGATCTCTCTTTTGTTCATAAATAAAGTTTGTTTTTCTTTGTTTTTGCCTGTAGATATTCCCAGAGACAGGATGCTTCCTTTCCATGTGAGTCCCTCTTTCAATCCATAATTTGCATGTCAACTTAATATAATATATGCTTTTCTTTGTGGGAACTTTACTCTAATAGGCACTACCTTGCATTGTAATTCACTAGGGGAAATGAACCCTCAACTATTCTTCCAATGGGCGGTTTGGGCTGTGGATTTTTATATGTGTGTGATTGAGCAACTAGCAGTCTCAGTGAGATTATTTTAGACTATCTAAGAAAAGAGTCTTTAGTTAATCATATAACTCGAATCTTTGCCGCAATCTTTTGATTAAAACCTCTAATCAGTAATCACTAACTGTTAATCCTATGTTTTTTATAGGACAAAAAATCTAGAGATAGATTTTTAGTAGTGTTTTGTTCAAACGTTTTGATCTCCTTGTATTGGCATCCACACTGTACAAAATGTATGTTAAACATATTGAACATTAATAGTGATATTATGCTCTTGTTTGGTTTAAACAAAAATTAGATTTTTGTAGAGTTTGATAAAAGTTGATGAAATGTGTGTTTAAAAATTTGATTATAATTGTAAGTCCATAAAATATGTTGAAAATGAATTTGAAAAAACAAGGACTAAGCAAAGTCCACTTAAAACGTAGTCATGTTAGTGTACTGCTTTGGATGCTCTACATGAGATTTTTTTTTTTGTGTGGGTAATGTCGGCATGGACACAACTGCACCATAAGCTAATTCATTGGCAAATTCATGTGTTGACTGCTCATTGTCTTTTTCCTTTTTATTTTGGATGAAAAAATTGTAGCTACTATCTCATTATGAGTCGAGTCGAATCGAGTCATTAGGATGGGAGAGGGTGGGGGCCGCTGGGCAGCCCTCCGCCCCCGCACTCGGTGGTGTCGGGATTTAATATATGTTCATTTCTTACCCGGTTTACTTATTTATTTTTATAATATAACTTTTATTTTTCTAAATACGAAAAAAATTAAACTTAACTATAATAGTAGGGGATTCCTTGACGAGTTGAGCGATGCATTCCTACAGCACAGCCCACTTGGCCATCACATACTGGGTCAGGTTGGGATAGCTTAGTTTATGTGGGCTAATAATATTTTCGACAAAACTTTTAGAAAAACAGATGGGCAACTTATAAAATTACCCCTAAAATCAGGGGCTTTTTTTTAGAATTATATGAAAAGTGTTTTGGTACCTGGAAGTAAAAAAGTAGTGTATAAAGTTTTCTCTGACTCTTTTTTTTTTTTAATTTTTTATTCAAAATTGACATCATGTAACTTTTTAATAAAAAGAAATAACGTAAGTAAAAAAGTGATATACAATGTAACTTTTTAATAAAAAGTGACATACAATATTATTTTTCTGTTTTGTGGAAACTTAATTCACATTTAACTAAATACAAAATTAATTAACATTTAAAAGAAATTCTTATAAGTAAATTGATAGCTTAGCCAAAGATGTATTGTTCTATTAGAAATTGATTGTATGTGACATTTTAATTAAAAGGGGGGCATGACGTGCTATGTCACTTTTTAATGAAAATGTCACAAATCATGTAACTTGACTTTTCTGTGGCACTAAACATGAAAGCAATTCAATAAAGTGAGACAACATGCTTCACAAAATTTAAATGATCTAGTTTTCTGTGACAGACAGAATATTTTTAGCCTTGGAGATTAGCCCAGCAATCTGGGACAACCACGATTTCACCTGCCAACCGCTTTCTGCCATGAGACGGGGTATCCCTCCATCCGAGCGTCACACATGATTTTCCACAGGACCCATGTAATAATAACAGGTGCAAAGTCGCAAAGAACTCCCACTTGTGAAGTTTTAGAGACCTGTTTCCCCCATAAGTTCATCATTACCTTCTAGTTATTAACAGCCGGGAGAGACATGTTGAAATGGGCAGGAAAATGGGACCAGACTTTATGTGCTAATTCTCCATTACATGGAGCATGATTTACATTTTCCACTGAGGGGTTAACGCAGCAGTTACATTTCGAGGCGAGAGGGATTCCAATATTTTGGATTACCTCATCAACTGGTAAACAATTTAACCGAGCTCTCCAGGATACAAATGAGATTCTTCGGGGTACATGGTGCTGCCATAGCCAAGATTTCCAAGGACAGGGCACTCCCTTTTTCCGAATTAAATCCCAGGCAGACTTTGTGGAAAAATAATCATCCTTACTAGGCTTCCATACAAACTGATAACTATCTGCAGATATTTTAACGTGCACACTTTCCACAACAACATCTTGAGATTCATCCAGTAGCTCCCGAAGCTGAATTTCAATCCATAAACCATTGGTCATCAATAGGTCCTTTATCTGTAGTTGTGGCTCCTTTACATCAAAACCAGCATCTGCCAAGCTTTGTGAGCCTAACCAGCAATCATACCAGAAATTAGAAGATCCATCCCTAACATGACAAAAAGTGTTTTTCAGCACAATATGCAGTGCTGCGACCACCCCCTTCCAAAATCAGGAGTAAGTGTGGGAAATTCTCAGCAAAGCAACATGTGTGTTTTTCAAGTATTTTGCTCAAAAGAATTCAAACCAAAAGGAATTACCGATCAACAGCTTCCATGCAAACCTTATAAATAGAGCTTGTTGAACTTCGCCAAAGTCTCGTATACCTAGTCCACCTTCCTCCTCTGGATAGCAGATTTTTCTCAGGAGACCCATTTCCTTCTCTTAGAACCATCAGTAGCGTTCCAAAGAAAATCTGAAAGAATGTAGTTCAATTCAATATGAACTCCCTTAGGCAGATTCAATACTGATAAAATATGAATTGGCATGCTACTAAGGACATGCTTGATAAAGGTAAGTTTGCCTCCAAAAGAAAGAAGTCGACCCTTCCACCCAGCTAGTTTCTTCTGGATCTTAACCATCATAGGCTCAAACATGCCCTTCAATAATCTTCCTGTGTAGAGAGGGACACCCAAATATGTACATGGTAAAACTCCTTCTTTAAATCCAGAGATAGCCAACAATATTCTTTTGCGTGTTCCCATGATATGCTTGGACAAAAACATAGAAGATTTCAGAGGACTCGCCTGTTGACCCGATATCAGGTCATACTTCTTTATAATTTCAAGGAGCTTGACGATTGACTTTTCCTTCCATTGGAAAATATAAGTAAGTCATCGACGTAGAATAAATGGCTGACCATAATTCCTCCATAGTGAAAAGGCTTAATGACACCGCTTTTAAATGCCCTGTTAATCATTCCAGACAAGAGCTCTTGTGCCAATATAAACAAATATGATGACAATGGATCCCCTTTGCGCAGTCCCCTCGATGGCGGCTTAAAAAACCCCGAGTCTGACCATTAAGCATGATTGAGTAGTATGGGGAGGAAATTCAATTAAACACAACATTTCACCATTGGTCAGAAAAACCGAACCTCCTTAAACTCTCGAGAAGGAATTGTCAATTAACTCTATCATAAGCTTTGGCCATATCAATCTTCATTAAAGTATTTCCTCCTCTCACCTTCTTGTGGATACTCTGCACCATTTCCTGAGCAACAGATATGTTATCGAAGATGCTCCTACCCTAAATGAAGGCTGACTGCTCTCGAGAAATTAATTTGTCAAGCAAAGGAAATAACCTAGCGACCATCATTTTGGACAGAATATTGTACACCACCGAACAAAGATTGATGGGGACTATTAGGGGACTCTACCTTAGGAATAAGAACAATGTTAATTGCCTCCAAAGCAAAAGTTAGGGGGCAACCTCCAAAAAATTCTTTGGCCACGGCTAGTAAATCAAACTCGACAAACTCCCAAGCAGTAATGAAGAAACTAGCATTAAAACCATCAGGTCCCGGGCTACTGTCTTTAGGGATAGACCATAGGGCAGCTTTAACCTCCTCCAAAATAGGTGGTTTGCACAATGCTATATTTTCCTCCTCCGTGATGACCAGCTGCAAGAGTTCTAGTTAGTTGACATCTATAGACATATGTGAAACAGAGAAAAGACTTCAAAAACACTGTACAACCCTCTCATGAATATCATCAGGTGTTTTCAACTCTCTACCATCCTCAAGAACCATTTGGTCGATAACTTGGCTCTTGTTTTTATTTTTAACCTAGGCATGAAAAAATTTGGTATTACCGTCCTCCTCTTTCAGCAATTTAATACAAAATTTTTGCCTCCATAAAGCTTCTTCTCTGTCTAGACAAACAGCATATTGATTTCGGCATTGTAGGAATTGATTTTCAGTTTTCGTTGAGAAACTATCCATCAGAGAATTCTCAGTAGCATCAACTTGTTTTCAAAAGATTCTATCTCGTGTTGTACCCTTCCAAATACCTCAACATTCCAAGTTTTTAATGCTAACTTCAGAGTCCGCAATTTACGTCCAAGACACACCATAGGAGATCCTGTCACATTCATATCCCATACTTTTTTCACCAAAGGCAAGAATTCTTGATGAGAACACCACATACTGAGGAACCGGAAAGGTTTGTGGACTGTCACATTCGAATAATCCTTGCAATGTAGGACCATTGGGCAATGATCCGAAGATGTACATTCTAGGTAAGATAGTTGATAAAATCAAGGAAAAGGTTCT